TGGTTTTTTAAATCTATAAATTGGTGATAATTGAGGTTTTGATCCTGATATGTGACTTTAAAAGCATAAGCAGCAAACTCAGCCAAGTTACTTAAACAAGAGGAGACATTCCTTTGAACCCAAAGGACACGGTTACAGTGGCCACGTGGGTCTCTCAAGCACAATCTTGGCTTCACTGCCAAGGATGGGATGAGGCTGTGCTTCTGCCCTGGCTATGACATAGGGACCTTGTCCTGGATCTGGTGACTATAATAGTTTCTTCATGTCACTCAGTTTCACAACTTCAGTGACACAAGCTACACTGATACCCTTTTTTTTTTTAAGATTTTATTGGGGAATTGGGGGAAGGAGAACAGACAAGTTGCTGTCCTTTTGTTCTTCGGTCTAGTTGTGGAGGACATCGCTTCACTGGCCCATGTTGGTATTATCATTGCGTTCTTCCCGGGTGAGGCAGATTGGTCGCCGGCTTCTGGACGGCCGCTCACAGTGGCTCTTGGCAGCTCACACTGGCTGCTGGCTGCTCACACTGGCTGCTGGCCACACACGGTAGCTTATGGCAGCCCACTGCAGCCTACGCCGTTGCCCGTGACTCACAGCAGCCCAGCTCCAGGTCGAGCTGTTGTTCACCATCTTAGCTGTAGAGGGCAGTGTCACTGGCTCTCATGTGGGATCTGAACCAGGGCCCTGCTGCTTAGAGCTGGCGTCCCAAACCAGCTCTTAACCAATGCGCCACTTGGCTGGCCCCCTACACTGATACCCTTTTGCACAAGCTGTCTATAAGTGCTCTGCTATAGGGAATAGCAACCATTCTGTTACTGGCCAACCAACGAGCATCCCCAACACTGAGAAACTTTTAAGTGTTCTTTCCTATAGAAATGTTAAGTCTCCTCCCTAGTTCCTTAGTTTCTTAGTTCTTGGCTTTGATTACTTTTCTAACAAGTTTGTGAATCCTAGACTAAAGACCACCACACCCCTGCTTCTTGATTGCTTTGTAAATTAGTTTCTGAATCCTAAACAATAGAAGCCTCCTACCTCTGCTTCAGATAACTACTTGAAAGCCTGTGACTTCCTAATATCCCACAGGCCAGTAAACTGAATGGCAAACCCATTCTGGGCCCAGACAATTGACGCCAACTGAGTGACAGGCTGAATGGCCACAGGCTTCATGAGAGCTAGCAGATTTATTAATTAAAATCTATTTTTCCTCATTCAGGGGCCTTGGGGATACAGAGGACACCCCAACAAGATTGCCAGTCACAACCAAAGAAGCCAACATGGTCTTCCAGGCAGAGCTCGAGACCCCTTCCTCTCATCTGAGATCAGCTAGGGTGAGAGTTCCGTGAATCCTCCAACAGGCAGGGACAACTCTATGCCCCTGCCCAGCAGGAAGCAGATACAGAAGAAAAGACCTGTCCCTCAGCTTCCCATAGAGATTGTATAGGGATCACGTCTCTCAAGGGGAAAACAAGGCAGGCAGTTAGAGGCAGGCATTGGGTCTCTGCATTCCTGCACATCCCACAGAATGTGAGCGCGCTACACCCAAAACTTCCAATCAAGGGGTCCCATGCCCAGAGAGGAACGGCCCATTCTAGAGAAAAAGGGATAAAAACTCCAAGTCCTAGGAAGTCTGCCCTTTTTGAATATTCCCCCTCTTTGGACCGTTTCTTCCCCTTTGACCCCTTCCTTCCTTTTCGAGCCTCTTGCACCTCACCTTTGCACGTGGCCCGCTCCATATGGTCCAAACTCCTTGAATAATTTCTCTTCTAATAAACTACTTTTACTTCGCTATCTCATTCAATTCTTTGCTCGAGTTGCCAAGGACCTGGACTTTGTGCCTAGAAGGGCCCACTTTCCGACAACAATTCCCCTTCATGGAAATTAATAATAATAGTAGCAGCTAGTTTTGAGGACTCTGCCAGGAGTAGGTATGTAAATGTGTAGGTTCTTTTAACCTGCCCAACAACCCTGCGAGGTAGGAATTATGACACCCACTTTACAGATGAGGAGGTGAGGCTCAGAAAGGGAAATTAATTTTCTCAAGGTCACACAGCTAACAAGTAGTGGAACAAAAAGAAAATCAGATGTTGCACTCCAGCGTCTTCACACTTATGTGCTGTGCTAGACTTTCCTTGGTCTTATTTTCACAACCTTGGAATGACCTTAGTAAACAGACAGAAATAAAAGCCACATGCTCTTCCACAACTCTCTTAAAACCAAAGTGACAGTTTTAGGTGAATGATTCCTTACCTTCGACCTGACTGGACAATCAGATCCTCTATAGCAAGCAGCTTAGCTCAAAGCAGTTGTGCTCTGCTAACGAAATCTTGATAAATAGCACCGTGCTAGATGAAGTAGAATTTTGTGCCCTCAAAGGCTCAATTATCTGTGTCCCAGAGAGGAGTCAAAATTGTTTTCTAAGCATTAGGACCTAGCCTGACAGTAATGTGTTCTAGTTAAGGGCACTGTTTTTGGAATTTGATCTTGTTTCTGCCATTGAACTATTATTTGGAATACATTACTAAGCCTCTCTGTGACTTAGTTTTTGCTACTGTAAAATAGCAGTAGTTATGGCTGGAAATCATGTAGGGTGCCTTCCTATTACAATGGTTTCCTGAATTCTTCCCCAACACACACACACACACACACACACACACACACACACACACACACACACACACACAGCAGCTTTGTTGTATCAGTCAGAGAGTGGGGTGGGGGGTGTGACATCTGATTCAAGCCAGGCCAATCAAATTCTCTCCCCTAGCATTCTAGATTTGGGAATGAGAAAATCTTGTGCTTTCTGGTTTGAGCTTGACTTTGGGAATTCAGGGGTGGACATATTCCCCACAACATACGAGGATGGTCCGCAGAAAGAGAAACGTGAAGTAGGTGGGAAAGTGAAGCAGAGGTGACCCCTTAAATCTTCATACTAAATTCTCTCCTTTAGCCATCAGAGTCCTAACTGACAAACCACCTCACAGCCTTGTTAGGATAAAATTCAAGGATGTTTGTAAAGAGCTTAGCCTGGAATAAAGCCAGCACCCAATAAATGGCATTTATAAATTGTTATACCCTTGGCTCACATCTAAGGCAGGCTTCTATTCAAACACGGGTCTTGTTGAGCTTTCTTTTTGGTCACAGGACAATTAAGTTTCTTTAGACTTTATAGGCCAACAAGGCTTAAATGTCTATTTAACTGGCAGGACAAAATAGCCACATGACAAGTTAAACACAGGAAAGTTTTGGAAATGACATTTGTGTGAGCCTTTTTAGATCTGTCAGAGGTAAAAAAAGGGAAAAGGAATTCCAAGTTCAAGGAACAGCCTGAAACGGGTTATAAAAGCATGGAGCACTTGGCAAGGGACGGCAGCCAGAGCAGCCCAGAGTGGATGGGTGGTTGGGGACTAGGGGTGAGGAGCAAGGGAAGGGGCAGAGAGGTAGGCGAGGGCCCCATTGCCAAGGTGCTGAAGGCCCCAGTCAGGTTCCAGTAACCCAAAGAACAAACTAAGCATGTGCTCAGGGGACCAGCAAAACAAGGGCACCCAACGTAAAATCAGAAAAGAGGACATCTAAAAAGGAAAGAGTTTAATGTTACCATACATTTGAGTTTTGTGCAATTTCAAAAAATACTTGTCTTTCAAGTTTTAGCAGTTTTTAAAATTTACAATTACATAGGTAGGCTATCACTATAATCTTTCAGTGTTTAGGTTTCTTTCTGGTCCTGACCCTGTTCCAGAAATTGGACACCAGCCAACTTCAGTTTGGGGCTAGGCCGGGTTGAGTTAAGGCAGTTTACATTACTTTCTGAGTAACCTATAACTGTACCATTAACACCCAGGGAAACGAACAATTTATGAGGTCGGTTGTTTGCCCGAAGCTCCTCCATCCGGTTGCATTTGAGCAACTGTGACAAATGGAGCATAACAGGGACGGCCTCTTCCTGTAGCCCCAGAATTAGGAACCAGGGTTCTTGGTGAAACATCAAGTACTCCGTGTTCTAAAGAGAAGTCAACCATCTCCCCAGGGTCTTAGTAAGAGGCTGCAAACTGGTCCTGCCTTTCCCAATCAGCCCAGTCATCCTTATCTCACGTAAGTAAGACATTTCATGGGATACATTGCTCACGGCCAAAAGTTATACATGCCTCTTCCCACCCCCACTGCCACTGGGGAGGGGAGCGGGCACATTATTCCACAACACCAAGCGTGTTTTAGAAAAGCACTCATCTAGATTAGGAGCACCTACAAGAAGAGGAGAAAAGACATCTCACTCCCCAGCTGGTTGGTTCACTGCAGCCTCATCCTACTCCCACCCCAGGGCTGCCTGATGACAGACATTCTGGAAGAGTTTTACATGGGTATCGGGAGTTTGGGGTCTCAGAAATGAAGGTGGGCAAGATGCAATGAAGCTATGTCGAGGAAATTACACATATCAGATAGGCAAAGATACAGCATCTGCCTAGGTGTCCAGCAGTGGAGAGAATCAGGCCAAGCCAGAAGGAGACTAAGGTCCCCTTCTTACCACCTGCAGGTGACCTCGGAGCACCCCTGCTGGCTCTCTTACTGCTTCTCCCTGCCGTCAATACCAGAGGTGCTAGGGTCCAGAGGAAGGAGGGGAGATGTGAAAGAACTTACTGCACCCTCACTAGCTAGCACCCAGTTCCTAATTGTAATTTCTATATTCCTCTTGCCTAGCAGGCACAACCTTGGCCCAGAGAAGACATCTGATACTTGTGTTGAGAAATGAATGAGTGAATGAAAGTACATAATAAAAGTTATTATGTACTCTTTCTCAGTTATGGCTTTACTGATTTAGGAGACTTGTCAGTCAAAGGAGGATGTTCCCTTGGCTCAGAGACTTGCTTAGATAACAACGTGGCACGGCCAGGGTACACATGGTGTGTTCTCCAAGAATATTCAGGCGGGGCTCAGGCTCCCGCAGTCCCCAGTCCCACCCCTGGCCTTACATTTCAGCTGAGTGGGAGGAAGGGTATAAATTTCAGCTGTTCTCAGCCCTGCTGCGTTTTTACCAAAGACTTGCGACAGCACCATGAAGTTGGTAGGCTTCTTCCTCCTTGTGCTCCTCATCACCCTCAGCCTAGGGGTACAGGAGCTTCAGGCTGCGGTGAGACCGTTGCATCTTTTGGGTGAGTCCAGGGAGAAGGCAGCTCCATTCTTCTTCAAATGAGGGAGACAGAAAGTAGGACATCAGGGCCTAGTGTGTGCAGGGGCAGGAGGGGAAGAAATAAGAGAAGGAAAAATAATTCTAGTCATTGCAGGGACCCACCTTAACTACAGAATCTCTTCTTCTGCCTCTACTTTCTCCACCTCCTTTCTTTGGGCCACCCCTCCATCTGGACTCCCCTCCACTTCTCCCCTTCAACCCCCTCATCAGCCATCCTCTATCTCCCCAGCATCTCTCTCTCTCTCCTCTCCTCTCCTCTCCTCTCCTCTCCTCTCCTCTCCCTCTCTCCTGGTTTTTGTCTCTTGCTGCAAACAGATTGAATTGTCTAGAGAAAATATTTTCTTAATTATGTTAAACATTAATCATCTCAATTTCTTTTTACCATTGACATTCTCACAGGAGTAAACTTAATTCTCTGCCCGCCCTTACCCATACTTCATTCTTTAACCCCTTGAAGACTGACTAGTCTCCACTGCTGCCCCCATCACTCTGCTGAAGCTTCTCTACTGGGTCCTGTTGACAGATCTCATGACTCTCAGTAGCCCAAGTCTTTAACCTCTGCAACATCTGACATTTTTTCCCACTCCATTAATCCTCAAACTTTCTTCTCTCTTGGATTTTCTTCACTGTATCTCTTTCTTCTCCCTACAGATTATTGGATGCAACTCTTACTCCTTTCTCTTCTTTGCTCTCCTCCCCCTACATTCAACTAGTTGCCAAACACCATCCATTCTTTGAAATTGTCTCTTGCATATGTTCCTTCCTTTCCACCCACCATTGCCACACTGTGTTTCCAGCTCGGGTTACCCCACACTTGGACCAGCACAACAGCTGCCCAGCAGCTCTCCCTGCCCCTGTCTTCCTTCTGAAGTTTGCTTGCTGGTTGGATCATGGTTCATTCTGTGCTCTCACACCAGTAACCTTCATAAGTAAACAGCAATCGCATCCCTCTCTTGGCCTACCTACCAAACGAAATCCAAACTCCTCAGGTCAAGCTCCATCCTTTATAACTTTGTCCCCTGCCTACTTTTCCTGTGTGATTTCCAACTGTTCTTTAATACTTATCTAGCCTTCCATTTGCCAATCCTCCCATATTCCTTGTATTTCAGGTGAGAAGTGAGACAAGTGAGACACCTAGGGCCCAAAATTTAGGGGGGTGCTCACTCTTAGGGGGTACAAATGTCTCCTTAAATTTTGGGCCCAAGATACCTCATGTGCTTCTCCTTAACCCAGCCCTGTTCCATTTCCCCCTTGCGGTTTTGCTAGTAATTCTTTACTCTTCTCACAAAACTTGACTACCCCTGTCAATTCTGCCTTCAGAACATTCCTATACTTCAAGTCTCACCTCTTCTGATTAAACTAATTGGGAGTAATGTCTTCTTTCTTCTGAGCCTCTTTAGTCCTTTGGATATACCTCTCTCAGGACACTTGTCACAAACTGCTTTGCTTTTAGTACTTAAAACATAAGTCTTATTTGCATTGTTAGACTCTAAGCTGCTTGAAGGTAATGAATGACCCTATCTTACATCTTTGTATTTTCTGAATAATTTACCTCTATGCTTTATACATAGTAGGAAATCAACAGTATAATGAGTGACCAAACTGCCGTGAGTGGGGACAAGAAGTCTTTAACCTTCTCACCATGAGTCAACAACAGCTAATAGAAACATGGAGGGATGGCACTGATTTTCCTTGAGGTCTGCAAGTACATAGTCCAAGACCTCCTGCTAGGCCCCCTTCTTACACATCTTTAAAGCAGGCTTTGCTTTATTGGAATTATGTGAATGCATTGTTTTTAGCTGAAATATATAAGGTGTTAATGAATATTATTCTGCAAGCAATCCTTTAAATTACATTATGAATTGAACTAAAAGAAAAAAGTGGAATTGGCTCCTTAATCAAGGGCAGTCCTCTCTGTGCCTAAAACATGGCGGTATTCAACTGGTCTCTTCTAATGTAGGTGACTGCATTGAGCTCTGCAGTGGTGACCGGGACTGTAATCCAGGGGAGCATTGTATCAGCACTGGGTGTAGCCAGGTCTGCGCTGCATACTAAGAACAGGTAAAAACATCAGGTCCTTTCTTGCTGTCTCAAACCATCTCCAACCCAAGCAAGCTGTACACTTGGCCCTGATGGGACTTTCCAGAAATGGGTGGGACAGAGGCCTATCTCTCTGTGGTCCCTCCCTCTTCACCCACACTTCCCAAGAAAAATAAGCATCTATCACAGGATGGTGGTTTCCAAACCTCTAAAATAATTTAATGACCCATTATATCCTGCAGAGAAATCAGACTCTTCAATCAAAAAGAAGATAAATATCACCCATAATCCCCCATCCCAAAATGATGTCTGCTTACCACTTTGGTGAATGTTTTAAACACACACACACACACACACACACACACACAAATATATAATGTAAAAATGAGATAATCTTGTACCTATTTTTATTTCTTTATTATTTCACTTAGAAATAGCTAGTAAACAATACCAACACTGATGCTTCTATACCATCAACTTTAACAGCCTTATAGAAGTCCATCGTATATGCTCATATACTTAGTAACCTCCATTAATACATATTTAATATATTTTTTATTTTTATATTAATATGGTGTAATGAATATTAAATTGGTGTGCATGCCCTAATCAGTTTTTGTTGGGATAAATTCTAGGAAGTGTAATTAATGACCAAAGAGTATGTTCATTTTAAACCTTTGCACATTGCCATAGTGACCTATGCAAAAATCTCTTTCCTGGAAAAATATTTCAGGGTCTTCACATGATAATTTATCTTTAGTAGCTATTAAATGAAAAAAAATAATAATTAAAAGCTACTGTGATTCAGTTTTGATTATAAATGAAGTTGTATTAAACACAACAGAATCAACATATACTTTAAAAATAATCCATTTGTGTTTAGAATGTATTATTTGTCCAATCCACCCACAATCCTTGGGATGCTTTTCACCTTGCTGGCTCCTTGTAGGTGCTTATTGATTCCCAGAACTGGGAACTTTTGCCTTTCAATTGTATTCTGTGGATTCAGGTCTTACTTATAATTTTTTTTGTCCATTTCTCAGATGAAGAGTTATTTTAAGGGTCGTCCTTCTCTAATAATTGCTCATCCCTTCCTAGAGTTGCTATCTTCAAAGATGTGACTGGAACGCCTTGCCCAGGAAGATGGATGAAAATGGGGACCTGTGGATGGAGATTACAAGGATGGGGAAGGAAAAAAGTTGTTTCTTTAAATAAATCATCATTATTAAAAGTACCCACACTACTTGAATTATTTGGGCGGGGGTGATGGAGAGGAAGAGGAGGAAGAGGAGGAAGTGGGGGATAGATGACATTTGTTGGGCACTTGCTATGCAGCAAGGACTGTATTATGTTCTCCACAAGTGTCATCTAATTTATCCTTCCAACAACCTGTGACTATGCTTATTATCATTACCGTTTTACATATAAGGACACCCTGAGGTTTGGAAAAATTAAGTGATTTGCTCAAAGTCATACAGTAGTTAGGTGTCAGGGTCTTATAATACAACCTAAGATGAGCCACACCAAACTCAACTACTTTCCACAGTCTCTTTCACGCCACCTCTACTGTGGTGATGACCAGGCCTCATATCCTTTTAGCCCAGTGTGTCAGACATCTCTTATGCACTGCTTTAAATACTCTTCACCTTACACTTTTATTCTAATCATTGCTACAGCAACCAGTTTATCTCAGGCATCTATCTATCTACTAGCCAGCATAAGGTAACTTGTCAGAGTCTTTTCCTTGAACTTGTACCCTGTTATTCCACACCTCTCACTTTTGCCTCAGGGCTTTTTTGATTATACAAGAGACACCTGCAGGAACCGCATATTGACGCATGCTCAACTCAGAAGACCGGAGAATTCATGCTTGTTGGGGCAACTCTTGACAATAGAGGTCAGAGGCTGACAGGTGTATGCTTCCCCCTTCCCACCTCAGGAGAGAGGTTCTGAGAGTATTCAGTAAGGCTTGTCAGCAAGTCCTGAGGGGTGAGCAATCACTCACCCCTTGCAATGGCCAATTCAATAACACATATTTGTATTATTCATTCCTGAATAAATCACTCACATACTAACCTCATGTGAGGCTCTGCTTTAGAACTCAGACTCAAATATCAGTGACTAGGTCTCAGCTCCTGATCTCTGAGCAAATGCTTGAATATCACAAATACACACACAAGCAAAACACACATATGCACACATCCCAAGAATAAACAATAGTATACAAGCATAGTGAAATCTAAATTCAGTCACAAAATAAATATTTCTCCCCAAAGAAGCCCAAAGTTTTCAGAGAACTAGCTCTCCTAAAGCAAACCCCCAATTTCCATTGCTAAACAGGAGTGTTTTACTCTCAGGAGAAAACACGTACATTCAGGTAACTTCAAGGTTTTCCCTAAGAGTCATGGGTGAGAACTTGCTTTATATTTGCATAACTCAAAGGTTTTCTTAGTCTGCCCAAATGTTAATTTCAAGCCTTCATCTCTTGCGTGAATGCAAACTGTCCACAGCTTTAAAAACGTCAATTTTCCCGCATCTTGCTTTTAAAGTTTCAGGGAATCTTGGGGGGTGTCCAATCTCAACCAGGCCACCCTTAGTTAGGTTATATGTTACGTAGTTCAGTTGGAACTCCCAAATTACTTTTGTGTGGTTTGGTGTCTCAAGATCCACAGAATTCACAGCCAGCTGCAAGGAGTACTGGGGAATGCAACCTTTATTCAGGATGGTTTTGTGCCTGGGGGAAAAAAAACCAGGGGCTGTAATAGGCTGTACGAAGAGTTGAGGAATGCCATAGAGCTAGCAGTTTCTACCACTGCCATCCACATGGGTCCCTCTCCAACCCCAGCCCGAATCTGAAACGCTGGTACTCAACAGGAATGTTAGCCCTCCTCAGGAACAAAGGTTCTGGGAGTCTCCACTTTACAGTCAGGGCTCAAGGAGAGGTGGGCGGCGAACACGTCTCCAAGCCAATTTCTGATGAGTATTTGCAGGGCAACAGTCTGAGGAGTGGGTCTCCCCGGTCTTGGAACCCTATGGAAACCCGTTCTGGTTCAAATAAGGTATTTCCGGAACTGGCGCGCGGAGGCAGGGATGCCCCGGAAGTGCTTCCCAGTTCTACGCAGGAAAGATGGCGACGGTGCAAGTCGTCGGATCCCTGCTGGGCGGGTCGCCGCGGGAGTTGCCGCCGGCGCTACCCCGCGAGCCCGGCACTGGGTTCCGCCGCCTGTCGGCCAGGCTCTGCGCCCTGCGCCCAGATGACAGTAGCTCCGCCCGCACCGAGATCCACCTGCTCTTAGACCAGCTCATCTCCGAGAACTACAGCGAGGGCGGCGGCGTGGCCCCGGAGGTAGGCGGCGCGCCGGGCCGGGAGGACTCCAGATGCGCCTGCTGGTCCCGACCCTACCCTTCAGGGATCCTCGCTGGTACTCCCGTCTGCCTCTCCGGGCTTTTCTCACCTCCACTTCGCATTACTTAGTTCCAGGCTCGTTTGCTCCCTCCGACCGTGGCACATTCTCTTTCCTCCTCTATCTGGAAGACCCTGCAGTGCTTTGCAAACTCGCATCTTTAAAAACCCAACTTGATGACTTCTGCTGTGATACCAACACAGGTGTCATCTCTGGTACCACCTTCCTGGTTCTCTCGCTCCACTCCCTGCATCCGGAATACTTTGTATATGAAATTCACTACCACGGTTTGTTGAGTGTATGGCGCACGGACCATGTGCTATACTTTTCCGTGCATATTTACAGGAAACTTAGAACGTGGGTATTTTTAGGTTTGTTTTACTGATAAAAACACTGAGGCTCATAGAGATCCAATGTCATATTGCTGGCAGAAGGCCGAGGTAGAATTGGAACTTAAGTCTGTCACAAAATTTGCTGTTTTCTGTTCCTCCATGCTCGGTCTGCCCGCTTTGCCTCCTCTTTAGAAGTATGCGGACTCTGAGTAATATTATTCACACACATCAGGCCTTGGATACTAAGTACTGAATTCCCTGAACTCTTGACCCAGTCATACCACTGCCTTCCGGTGCTCACAGGCACATCAAAATCGACAGTTCCTAAAAATGAGTACGTTATTTCCATAGGCATCATCCCCAACCTGTTCTGTTCTACACACACAAACATGCACATGCACAGTTTGCCAACTCACACAGGCACAAACTAGTTCTTCTCCTTCCCTTCCTTCCAGGTCCTATCCAATCATTATTCTTTAGAACCTGTCTCAAAAGTATTTCTCAGTCCACCCTGTTCTCTCTATTCCATCACCAATGCCTTAGGCCCTCAGGCAAGATGACTCTTGGACTATTCCACTGGTCTCTAACTTATCTCCTGCCTCCAGTCCTGCCCTTCTCCAAACCATTCTTTGCTTTGCTACCAGAGTTAGCTTTTCTTTAGTGGAAAAAAATCTGATTAGAAAATTAAACCTTTGATTTGGGAAGATCTTCAATACATATTGGTAAATGGTCAAAGCAAGTTACAGAACAATTCATACAGACCAGTGTAAGGTGGGGAGATTTAAAAATTTGTGTATGTTTATAGATGCAAAGAGTTCACAACAAAATAATAGTGTGTGTCACTAGGGAGTGGAGTGGATTTAAGGGAGTAATTGGGGACTTTTATTTGTATAATTTGATTTTTTTTTGCACCAAAAATATGTGCCTTTCCACTTTCCTGTCCCATGACTTCTCCTTTTGTGCCCTGTGTGCAGTCATGTAAAACTTACTGTTCCTCAAGCACCTACTGGTTTTATACCTACTAGTATTCCAAGTCTTTGCATACTCCTTTTTTTTTTGCTTGCAATGTCTTTTAGTGCTTTGTCTATCTGCAGATTTTAACTCATGTTTCAGATAATTCCAGATTCTGCTTAAAAATCACCTTTATAAGACACCCCTAATTATCATTTTCCCAGAGCTTATACTTAATTCTTTCAGCACTTAATTCGCATTAAGTATTTGTATTTCTGTCTTTCTCACTAGACTGTGAGAGTTTGAGGGTTCAGAAATACGTTTGTTTACCTTTGGAGCGCAAAGACCTAGCATACTACCTGACACATAGTAGGTGCTCAGAGCCTTTTCATTTAATAAACGTTAGTGGATGAATGAATAGTATAATTTGCAAATGGGTTCCTTTTTTTTTTCCCCAGAATTTTCTAATTTTATATTAAATTCATACAAGCATCATTTCTCATTTTCCTACTAGCATGGAAAATCTGGTTCGCTACTTTTTGGTATTTTTAACTTAAGTGTGTGCTTTAATATTACGGAAGCCTTTCTTTGATTATCTAATTGTCATCTCTGCATATTGTAGATATTCTGTAATCTTTAGCCTAACGAAAACCATATTGATTCTTTTCCTTCTTTTTTTAGCACATCCTATTTTTGTGCTGTCATTTCATTTTTTCCCCTACTTTCTCAAATTTCACCTTTTCCCAATTTGTGAATGTTCACTTTTATTTTCCTATTTGGCTGTGCTTTTTTTGGGGGGGGGAAGGGGGCAGTTCACTTGACTAGTAGGTATATCACCTTTCCATTGTCTCTTTTTTTTTTTTTGGTAGGATGTCAGCACCCTTCTTGTTCAAGCATGCCGACTGGTGCCTCTTAATCAGAATCATCTTGTCAGCAAAGTGTCTCAGCTTATCCACCATTTACTGAACACATTACAGGTAATCATTTTGTAACTTTAGAATTCAGATCATGACGTTTGAGAATAAGTACCTTTGAAATACTTCATCTGTGTTAGGTATGATAGGCTGGTCTTCTGAGAAGCTATAGGGAAAGCAAGTGCCCACTAAGAGTATTAAAACAAATAGACCAAAAAAAAAATATTCTGGAAAAAAAAATCTGCATAATTCTAGAAGTTTCTCCATTAGACACATTTGTTTTTGTTTGATTCAAGAAACCAGGATCAGTCAGGCCCCCAGGTCTTAGAATTTTTCATGAAAACTGTATTTGGCCAAGATATATCTAAGAATAAATTGAAATAATCCCTTACTTCTTTCCTACCAATATTGTTTCCTCTTTTCTAATGCTGCCATTTTTGTGGTCTATTTTTGGTCTTCATAAAACATGAGAAGTAGCTTGGGGGCCAGAGGACCCTAGATAAAAAGACCCCTTTTATTTATGTAAAGGTCTTACTATAGCTCCCTTCTATCCAGAACCTTTTCCAACTTGTTAAATAAATCAGTTATCTTTTTAGGAATAGTTAAAAAAAAAATTAAGGCTGTTAACCATAA